ATTATACAGAAACAAAGTATCAATCTATTGTGCTATATTGTCATGTACAATAACACTAATGTAAGAACTTTCATTAAACTCACTTTTGTAGATCACAGATTTCTGAAAATGGTAAAGGCCTATGGTAAAACCAGAAATCTAACCTAAAATCTGAAACTTCAAATCTAACTTCACTTTCAAATTCAATCTATTTTACAGCATCCATTCCCAATAATAAAGAGGCAAGTTCTATTGTTAACTCTAAAAAGTGGCATTTTGAAAATATTAACTATTAAAATGAAGCTGTTTCCTCTCATAATATATAAATATTCTGCAGAAATTCAAGTCCAGTCACCATCCTGTATAACACACATATCTAGAGCATTTAGGACTATCTGACAACATGAGTCATCATCACTGACCAAAACACTTTCCCCTAATTTCAAGTATAAAATCCCAGGCACTAATGCTCTGGATTTATTCACAGAGCTTTTAGCTCCCTTAGTCTGGCATTTTGCACCATCCACTTTAATATACATCTACATACACTTGTTAAGGTCCCGTTTCCCTTTGGAAATTCTAAAATGTGCTGTTTTTCCAGTATGAGCTCGCTTCAAATGGCTGTGAGTGCCCCCTGGGCTGGCCAAGCCAGCAGCAGAGGAAGCAGAGGCAGTTTGTGTCCCAGGCACTGGCCAGGAGATGGTGGCAGAGAGCAGCTCTCCCTCAGCCCCTTCAGCGCCCACTGCAATCCTCAGAGACCCCAGGGTACTTTGGACACCTCATTACTGCCGCACAGCAACCTCCTGACTTGTGCCATCAACTCACTTTTTATGGTTTAGGATAACAAAAGAAATTCAAAACATTGCTTAACATCCAGTTTGTTCAGTCGGATCGGGGAACTTGCATAAACACACTACAGGCTGGATGCACTCAGCTCTCCCTCTTCTGCTGAAGAACCAAGTTTCCTGACATCAGTTTTGGTAGTGATAAAAATCAAACATTTTCTGGAGCCATTATTGCCTAAAATGTTAATGCAGTTTACTTTTTTCAACTGTGATCGATAGCTGGAGGAAAAGTGCCCATAAATTACTAAAGGCAAATACGATTCTATTAGCACTCAGGAGATTTTGCAACATTTGCCAGTCTGTTTTACTGGAAAAAAAAATTAATTTGTTGAAAGCCTAGTTTTTTACCTGTCTTTGTCTTTCTCTGTAGAAGAGAGATATTTTTATCAGGAGTCATTTAGGAGATGTAATTCTAATGTACTATAGCTATAGGTTTCAATTAATGTTCTACCTCTCTGTCAGCTTTACATTCCATATTTTATGAAATCATTAACTATTGTCATGTTTCTATTATGATACTATTAGGAAATAAAGAGATGTATGTAAATGGAGATGTAAAATAAATGTATGACAGTTACTAGGAGCAACATCTGTGCACTATCGTACGTGTTTACACTAATTTTCTAAAGATTCTTCCATTCATTACAGAGCATTGTTACTTGCTGTGGCACAACCCTTATTTCTATGCATTTAGGGATTCAAGCAAAGAGAGGGTAAATGAGAGCCTAATCAATACCACTTTTCATTTTGCTTCTAATATGCTGCCTTTCTCTTTCTTTTCTTCATGAACAAATCCAAAAAATCCTGACGTTACAGTCATAAAATGTAATTCTTCTGCAGAAACACAGACAATAATGCTCTCTGTATTCAGGCATATTGCATATTCTAATGGCATTTGGCTAAATTGAGTATGGATTTAACATCAAAGGCTTCATGAATTTTTCAAATGAGATATTAAAGTCAATATTTCAAGTGAAAGATATTTCAATTTAGTTGCATACACAACAATAAAAAACTTCTACAAGGCAGAGGTACTAGTGGCTATGGCAGTATTAGTTCATTCAGGAAATTATTAGTTTATAAGAAAATCAAACAGAAGGTTGTGATACAGCAATGACACTGAATAAATTAGACTAACAGATACACACTAACGTACTTTATCTCTTGAAGTCTGAAGCAGAACTTGCTACTGGCATGTTCAGTCCTTCAAGCAGGGCTTCATTTGGAGATATTTTATTTATTTCTTTTGTAAATTCAAATGGTTCCACCTAAATTTGCACTCAGAACCTCAGAAATCTGCTTACATTCACGTCTGAAATGGTTAGGCCTACTGTATGAAAGAAATACCCCGATCCTGTTTATCTTTAAATTTAAGCGCATTTTGCTCCATAATGTCAATGCTTATGCAATGCTGCTTCTGATTTCACACTGAGTTACTAAACATTCAGACTACTCAGTGCTCACAACCAGTCCACTGAGCTCTGACTACTCCTGTGTCCTAGCAGAGATAAAGACTTGCAAACAAAATAACACAGAGTCTGTTCGTTCTTTTCCCTTCCTATTTTGGGCATGTGGAATGGAGCAAAATGCTCATTAAATCAGGAGATTGCTGTATTATAATGCCTTGACAGATCCCTGAGGAGCACGTCTGTGTCACCTATGGCTCCTGGGAGAGCCGGATGCCCACATCCGTGTGCTCCTAGTGCATACTTAGGCAGCCGCACCCACTGGGCCATTGTGCTGCTCTGAGGCCAAATACAACATTTGTTCACACACAAATAACAGAAGCTACTAGAAACTAAAAATACATATTGCAATAAATACTGATTTTACTAGTAATTCTTTTAGTACTAAAAATTAATTATAACTGGGTACTGGGGGAAAGTTACACGATTTAAAACCTTGACTATCAGGTAGTTTGGGCCAACAAATTACTACAAAGAGCTCCGATCCTAAAACACTTCCCTGAAACTAGCAGGTTGGTTGTCTCTACAATATTCACCCACAGTGTTTGCACTTACTATGAGAGGGCTCCAAGGGCTCAGAGAGAAAACAAAGCTGGTGCTAACTGTTCCTGCCATGGCTGCAGAAGAGATAGCAAATGCTGACCTGTTACTCAGAACTAAACAAAGCTAATAGCCTTGTGGGGCACTCTTGGAGAGACTGGGGAAGGCTATCCTGCCCCCATTTAAATACTATCTAACTTGTAGCACTGCTCTTGGGGTCCTAGACAGCTCTTTGTTCACCCCTGGGGCTTTTCTGAAGCTCAGTGTTGAAAGTGCTGTAGTATTTCCATAAAATGAGAAGTGTCACCATCTCAAAGGCAATCAATCAGGGACAAATATCTTCAGAAACAGTACTTTGTGGTAACAAGGGTAAGGCAGAAGCCTTGTATAAATAGTAAGATCCAATAATAACTAGAATTGTATTTTCAAAATTGCCTCTGGGGCTGGGGAATATGGTTTCCTTTTCTTCACTTTTGATTTCTGGACATCTCTGAGTTTGTCCTGAAAACTACAGTTCCTGCTTAGTGAGGCAGTAGTACATCCAAAAACTTGCAGATGAAATTATTTCAATTCTGATTTTTTGATTTTTTCATGACATAAAATGACACTGTTAGGAGGAAAGATTCTCCCATTATATCTACTCAGTCTAAGAACAATGTTTAAGGAATGATCCTCTGAATTGAATAATTTCCCATTTTCCTTGTTGATTGTAGGGATGCACATAAAGAGTACATCTCTTGCAAGATCTGTCAAAATGAGAGCTCAAAACCTTCTTTAGAGCACTGCTAAATAAACAAGGAATATTTGGAGTTCAGATGAGAAGAGGAAACCAAACTGTAGGATTTGGTCTTGGACAACCAAATGCTGTGCCAAAACCAAAATCATTCACATATCATGCTGCACATACCTTTTATGTTTAATGTAAGGTTTTACTGAAAACATATGAGTAGATTAACCATAGAAATAAACTGAAGAAATTGTGCTACCTAAAATATGCTTTTGACTATTAACTGGTGATAATCTGCACTGATTAACATTGCAATTCCATTGCAGATGTTGCTGACATTATATTTATGACAAAGAAACTACAGAAAAAAAATAATTTAAACTGGTATTTCACATTAACTCAACAATATATGCAGTGCAAAACATCTTCCGTGGAAGTTCAAGTATTCTATCTAATTCTTTGCAATTTCATTGTTGTTAAAAAATAAAGAGAAATGCAAGTCCAGTTGACAGTCACTTGGTTTTCTCTAATTTTGTAACTTTCTAAAATTTTTTAATTTGTTCTTGAACTTTCCTTTTTGATGGAGTCTAATGAAGGAACTGTAATTAGGTAGTTCAACTGAAACTTACGGCATGGGAAGGGACAGTTACATTTCTTTGTATCTACCATTATTACAGCAGGAGCAAGCACAGCTGCTTTCAGACTTGTTAATACATTCTGTAGGGCATTAAAGCCTTGAAATGGATGGTACTTGTGTGAATTTCCTTCCCCTCCACACAGCAAATGGAGCTGGCAGTCCACCAAAGCTCCAAACTTAATGCTCCTGCACTGTCCGGCAGAAGGAAGTATGGCACCTGATTTAGGGGAAAGTAGTGCTTTTGGAGCACTGCATATGATCATCTTCAACACAGAGGAAGAACCATGAAGGATGAAGGACAGAAAGATGGGAAATATGTGTTTGACTAGGCGAAGAAAAGATCCCTGCATCACACTGTAATACTTTTTCCTTTCTGTTTGTTTTAGGCCAGGTCTAAAGCATTAGCTCTCCATCTAGGTAGAAGTAAGATACAACAGGACTCTCCATAGATTCTTTAGTCTCTCTCTGGAAAATGCATTTATTATGAAGTGTTAGGTGGTTCATAGCACCTGTGATAGTCCTCCAAGCTAGGCTGAATTTTATGTTTTTACAGAGTGGCAAAGTAGGAAATACCTTAAAAACACAGTATTAGTCTGTAGAAATTAAAATAAGAAGCTCCATATAGGTCATCTGAAAAGCCTAAAAAGAAATCAAACTGTTACCAGGCACACAAGAACAGGAACAACTTCAGTGCAAAGTATAATAAACAAATTCCTCTAGTAATGTGAACTACACAGATGCTTTCTCAATCAACTGAGTCCGTATTTTGAAAGCCACACAAGATCAATGAAGGTAACAGAACTTACCCAACCCCAGTAGTTCAGCAAGGAGCTCTGTGTGTTTATCCACCCACTTCCCTGGAAAAAAGAATCGTTACATGTCAGGAATAAGTCCAGTAATTATCTTCTAACACAGGAGCAATGCCAGCAACATTCTGGTAATGGCAGCATTAATGCTAAAAGTTTACATTTTCAAAAGTGAAAACATTCACAGACACAATCTGGATATTTTAACTGTCACAGGCCTCAGCAATCTGATATTGCTTAGCCTTGTGGCCAAGGCATTAAGCCACTGGTATCTATCTGCCACAGAGAAGAACAGATCTTCTCAGTACTTCCCTAATAAACTCAATAATTAATGCATCAAATTTTGAAAAAGAAAAACAAGGGCCCTGTCACTATTAACAAATAAGAAACAAAGAAAAAATGTACTTATTTTACTAAAAATAGATAATGAAAATATTTTCATATATATAAAGCTGTAAAGTTCTACAGTAAATCAAATTCATTGAAGTCATTATAAATCCCAAAATACAGATAATAACTTTAATTCATTTACTCGGTCAATCATTTCAGTTACCTGTCAAAACAAAGCAAAACAAAACAAAAAAAGGGCAACAAGTTCATGCCCACTTAAAAAGGACAAAGTATCTACTATATGAGTGTAATCAAATGCAGGTTTGTACCAGAAATATAAATAGTACAGATTGGAAAAACACTTGAATAATGAAGTATTTCAAGCAATTCCAAGGAAAATTAGATGAATGACTGAAAAGGATAGAAGTGTACACAATTCATTACACAGACGATGGTAACACTTGGCTAAAAGAAGTGAGGGGGTTCCTCACTTTAATGAGCACAGTCTTTGCTCACAAATTAAAAATAAACAAATAAAAAGGATACGAGTATGACTCACTTATTGGCAGTCGATCAAACTGTAATTTTCCCCAAGAGCTGGGAAGCCACTGCATTATAACACATCAAGAACTCCTGCTTATTGAACTGATCTGTGTACAGTCTGACTCCTTTTCTGTCTACAGCAATTGTTTTCCTTTCAAAACATTTGGGTTCATGGAAATGACAAGCTAATGGTTAACTGGAAACATAGCATGATGTTAAAGTTAAATCATGCTCACTTGACTTCAGTGTCTCATTGTACCCCCACTGAATAAAAGTATTTTATAAAAGTTTCTTTCGCTGAGGGTTGTACAGCTGGTCCAATCTCAGTGCAATGCTGCTGATGTTAATAGCAAACTTGAATAGCTACACACAACAGTTTAAATCTCTAGCATATATATATTACCATAACTAAACCCAGCACTTTTCACTAATTATACAATGGCATGCTTCTTCATTTACAGCCAGCTGATTAAAATACAGATATATTGTCCTGAACATCACAGAAATCACGGGCACACAGCCATTGTTTTCAAATAGTGTTCTCTCAGTCTTGTTTCACTCCTCAGCTACATATTGCAGATTACAAAAATTATTCAAGATTCCAGCATAGAAATGGACAACAATGGATCCTAAATAAGAGATTGAAGGGCATAAATTTTCTGCCACAACAAGGATAAAGCTTCAGGTAGAGAGTGTCCTCCACCCTACTACTGCAGCATTGCAAACATAATCAAAAGAAACTAATTTGAGTTTTTGATAAGGAAAACCTGAAAATAGCTTGATAAGCTATAGACAGACACATATAGCTTTAAATTTTTATTTACATGAGTCCAAACACCTAAAAATGCTTGGAAAACAGGGACATCTACGCTGAAAACAAAGTTATTTCTTAGAGAATGGGTCAACAATCTACAGATCTTAAGTCACTTATCATCCAAGTCTGTGTGAATCTCACAGAAAGGGAACAGTTAAGACCCAAAGTACAGTTTCATCTCTGACCTATGTCTCTAAAGATATCATTTACTCAGGGATTGTATCTCAATTCAAGTATATAATTTTGGAGTATTTTTCAGAAGGGATACAATGGATGTATCACTAAGCTTCTAATCTTATAAATAGGCAAAAATTGGTAGTCACAGCAGCTTTGGAAGGTGGTTGAGGCAGGCAGAAACTTCCAGTTTGTAGAGGAATTAGTGTTTCTTTGCCTATGATTCTGAAATGCATATGAAGGATAAGAAAGGAACTTACACATGGAAATTTTTACCATCAGTGAGAGGTTGAAGAACAGAATATTTTAGAGTGCACAGACCATGAGTTATGGGGAAAGAACGAAAGGGACTGAGGTTGTGATGGAAGTTTTTTGCATTATCTGGAAATAGTCTGTTGTTTGCTCTCTTCATAAAAAGTATTTCTCCTATAGTGTTCTTTTCATTAACAGAACACCTTTTCAAGTACTTTTCTTGGGATTATTTCAAAATTTGGTATCCCTGATATTCAGTTTTATTTACTGAATATCATTATTTACTGAATATCTTACTGCACAAATACTGAATACATACTTTAATAGTTATGAAGGTGCCTATTCCACAGATTCATTTTAAAGCATTGTTTTCCTACAAGACAATCTGGCCAACAAGTAAAAAAATAATAGGCTAGCAAAGGTACCTGTTACAATGAATCCTTAAAATCCAATGCTGTATTTATAATTTTTCTAAAGATTTCACAAACTTTTGAGAATATATTTCATGACTATTGCTGCATTTATCCATACAGACAGCTGGGGAAAAAAAACAACATAGGCTGTTTTATAGAACAATTTGCAGATACAATTTCCAGCTAGACTGAAGCAGATTTGATTATAAAAGATGGGGCTGAAGATAACCTGTTTTTTCTAAAGTTCTCTTCTTCTATGAGGTACTTGAATGACCATAAAATGCCATTTTATGGTCAATCCACATATGCAAAGGTAGCATTCTGGGAATGGATTTAGAATATTTTGTGATGGAATACCTAAAAAGCTGTCTCACTACCAATAGCTGCTTCCAGCCTTTTCTGTGTACCAAGTTCCACTTCTATTCAGTCACACCCTTTATCCTTTGGGATACATCATCCACTAAATCCTGTTCACAGCCTTAGCAGCCTCTGCATCAGAAAGTCCCTTCACTACTGACCCTGCACCATCAGACCCCCTACAAAATTAAGTGGCAAAGCCAGTGGATGACATCAATGCCTCATCTGCTAAGTGTCTCTATTTTAAAAAATAACCAAATCCAACTGCATGTCATGCCATGGAAAGAATGACTAATAATAATAATAATAATAATAATAATAATAATAATAATAATAATGTGTTATTATCTACGTAAGCAACGGTGACCCACAAAGATAGAAATTCAGAATTTATCTTTCATCCACAGTCCACTTTTAACAATTAGAATTATCATTTGTTCATTTAAAATTTGAAAAGCAGGATACAGTTTCTGGCAATTATCCACCCTAAAAAACTTATCCTGCTGAAACAAATAACAACAAGTAACACAAAAAATACATGAAAGATCCCATGGAAGACTGGGTACTACATGCCTAATTCTGTATGGGGATGCAGTCCTATGTAGCAAGAACTATTCAGTATAAGAATCTTTTACAGAATGGATTATTATTTCTAAAGCACCATAAGGAGTCTTGCACACCATCAGACAGGATTAGTGATTATTCCTCTACCAGTGCATATATACTGCTACATATTTATTATAAGCTACATGTTTATAATTATAATTTATGTACATATTTCTACAAATTTTCTTAGAGAATGGCATTTTGCTGTGAACTGAATGCAGAACCAGGAACCAAGAGCTTCTCTTGGTTCTAACCTTCACTCCAGTAAGAGGTTCTTAAGTTTGCAGCCTTCAGCAAACCACTTCCTGCATTTGTAAAATGAAGATATAAACACCTGGTTGTTTACCTAGAGAAGAATATTGGAAAACTACTTGGCCTTCACAACCAAAAGCCAAGTCTGACAAATTCACAGTGAATTTGGCAAGGAAATACTGCACAGTGCACTGCAACCCCAGCGTTGCTTTGGCACCCTATGGCATTTTCCCTGTATGCTTTCCAGGCTGAGTTTAAGTTTCTGTTTGACTTCCAAACCTGCAGACAGCTATGGCAGTTAAATTATAATCACAGAATTTGTCTCTGACTTCAGAAGGATTAATTAGATGCCTAAAGGTAAGGAATTAACCAAATGCTTGCAGAATGAAGGCTCCATTTGGGGAAGGGCCAATTTTCCCAACTGATAATGTATAAATAAAATAATGCCTAATTTGCTACCATTACTAATGCTTTAGATACTATATAATTGGAAGCAAATCAGCAATTTATTTTAAATTGTTTATATACAAATCTTATTTTCTTTAAGAGTAGAAATCAATGGCCATTTCTCTTCTAATTTGATGATGTTGTCACATATTACAAAGACTAAGCATAAGGGGCTTTTTATTTTAAATTAGCTCACTATGTACAGAACTTAAACATTTGATAAGACACTATCCAACAGAAATAGAAACAAGTAAATAATAATCAAATATAATCTCATCTTTTTATTAATCTAGAGCAGTTTTATATTTGATGCACATACAAGAATTTTAAAGAACCTTTTTAAAAATTATTTTGAAGATCCTGCTTGTATTCTCCATAAATATTACAAGAAAATTGTTCATGTAACTGACAATGTTATTAAATAATATATATAGTTAATATTACTTTTGTGAAACGGTCACCATATTCCTCAAAACAACCTGATCCTTTATATTCAAAAGGAAGCAAAAAACTCTCACAAAAACTAGTTAAAGACTGATTCTCTCAAAGATGACTCAGTGAAAAATAATGACCTTATATTCGTGAAACATGACACAGGTCATCAGCAGGAGTCCACAGAAATCCAACTACACTGTATTCACATCAAGGTTCAGAAAAGTCTGATTTTCTTAAGCCTCTTGGTTCTCTCTGAGCCTCACTCCTCAGCTGAACATATGTGAATATATTCTGGGTCTATCATAAGTTATAGCATAATTATTTGTGTGTTAGAGTAGTATGGGCACTACTGTTGATCATGTGTCTTTCAGAGCTCTAATTCTTGCAAGCACCATGACACCACATCCCTGTGGAAGGACACAGGACAC